AGCAGCAGCAGCAGCAGCAGCAGCAGCAGCAGCGGCAGCGGCAGCGGCAGCAGCAAAGGCAGCGGGAGCGGCGGGTGAGGGGGGATGCAGCGGGGCGTGCGAAGGGGTGGGAAGCGGCTTGGGAAGCAGCGAACAGCAGCAGCAGCAGCAGCAGCAGCAGCAGCAGAGGCAGCTGGCAGCCGCAGCAGCAACTGCAGCAGGGGCAGCTAAGAGCAGCAGCAGGAGCTCCCCCGCATCCTCCACCCGCCTAGGGCCTGCCCCTCAGGGTCTACGCCGCAGCCCTTCGAGCTAGGGTTTAGGGTTTAGGGTTTAGGGTTTAGGGTTTACGTAGAAGCGTTCGAGGTCTTCCTGGGCCTCCTCCAAACCATCGCAAATTTCCTCTTCTCCTTTTTCTGCTGGAGACAGCCGCGTGGACACCGAGGCATCATCAGGGGGGCCCCCCTTGGGGGCCCCCCCAAACCCTTCGGGGGACCCCCCCCCAAACCCTTCTTTGGGGGCCCCCGCAAACCCTTCTTGGGGGCCCCCGCAGGCCCCCCCCTCCGCCCCGCTGCTGCTGCTCCCCGCCAGCAGCACAGGGGCCCCTTCTGCTGCCAGGGGGGCCCCCAGGGGCCCCCCGAAGGGGGCGGCCCCCAGGGGGGCCCCCAGGGGGGACCCTAGGGGGGCCCCCAGGGGCCCCCCAACCGCGGGGGCCCCCAGGGAGGCCCCCAGGGGGGCCCCCAAGGCCTCCTGGGAAGAGCGGGTTGAGACCCTTCTGGGGGGCCCCCTGTGGGGCCCCCAGGCCTTTTTGGCTTTATAAAGATGGTGCAAACCAAAGAGCAGCAAAGCTGCTGCTGCTGCTAGCTGCAGCAGGGGCCCCCCCTTGAGGAGGCCCCCCAGGGGCCCGGCGAGCCAGGCAGAAGCTGCTGCGGACTGCAGCAGGTAGCCTGCTGCAGCAGAAGCAGCAGCAGCAACAAAAAGAGCAGCACAAGTAGCAGCAAACACCAAAAGGCGGCTGTAGCGCAGCGCCAAAAGAGCAGCAAGAAAGAAAGTCCTGTCTCCCAGTTCTGTAGCAGCAACTAAGGAAGTGCTGGAGGCCACAGAACGCAGAAACCCAACAAACCCTCCCTGCTGCTGCTGCTGCTGCTGCCGCTGCTGCTGCTGCTTCTGCTGCTGTTGGTGCTGCTTTTGCTGCTGGTGCTGGTGCTTGGAGTGCTGCGGCTTCGCGCGGGGGGTTAGCGGCCCTGTGCGGGCCATGAGGGTTGCGGGCTCCCCCTCTGCTGCAGCAGGGCCGTCTGTACCCTGCAGGAAGGGCCCCCAGGGCTTGACAGTGTCGCTTTCTGCTGCTGTGAGGTGCCGCGGGCGCGCTGCTGCTGCTGCTGGCTGCTGCGGGTACCCCCCGCAGTCCAGGAGGGCCTCCAGGGGGCCCCACAGGGGGCCCCCCAGGGGGGCCCCCAGGGGGCCCCCACAAAGAGAAAAGGACCCAGAAAGCTCCCGCAGCAACCAGGCCCCTCCTGTGAGCATTACGGGGAGAGAAGAGACAGAGTCGCAGCGCTGGAAGTACTCGGGGGCCACGTGGATGTGTGCTGCTGCTGGGGGCAGCAGCAGCAGCTG